CTTTGGTTGCTTTTTGACTACGCTTTTGTTAAACTTTGTTTACACCCATTTGCTACACTTTGGCAACACTTGGGCAACAATTTGGTTACACATGTTTACACTTTGTCCACACTTTGGCTACACTATGGTTACAGTTTGGTTACACTTTGTCTATACATTGGCTAAACTTAGGCTACACTTTTGTTACACTTTGGCTATATTTAACTACACTGTGGTTACAATTTGAATATACTTTTGAAACAAATTTGTTATACTTTTGTTTGGCTACAATATGGTTACAGTTTGGTTACACTTTGGCTATACATTGGCTAAACTTAGGCTACACTTTTGTTACACTTTGGCTATATTTAACTACACTGTGATAACAATTTGAATATACTTTTGAAACAAATTTGTTATACTTTTGTTACACTTTTGGTACACTTTGGTTACACTTGTCCTACACTTTAAATACACTTTCGTTAAACTTTGGTTACACTTTGGTTACACCTTGACTAAACTTTGGTTACATTTTGATTACACGTTGGTTACACTTTGGTTAAACTTTGGTTACACTTTGGTTACACTTTGACTACACTTTGGTTACACTTTGACTACACTTTGGTTACACTTTGATTGCACTTTGGTTACGCTTTGGTTACACTTTGACTAAACTTTGGTTACATTTTGGTTACACTTTGGTTACACTTTGGTTACAATTTAGTTACACTTTGATTACACTTTGACTACACTTTCGTTATACTTTGAATACACTTTGGATACACTTTGACTTCACATTGGTTACACTTTGGTTACACTTTGACTACACTTTGGTTACACTTTGGTTACACTTTGGTTACACTTTGGTTACACTTTTACTACACTTTGGTTACATTTTGACTACACTTTGGTTACACTTTGACTACACTTTGGTTACACTTTTACTACATTTGGATACACTTTGACTACAATTTGGTTACACTTTGATTACACATTGGTTACACTTTGGTTACACTTTGACTACACTTTGGTTAAACTATGGTTACATTTTGACTACACTTTGGTTACACTTTGAGAACATTTGGATACACTTTGACTACAATTTGGTTACACTTTGATTACACATTGGTTACACTTTGGTTACACTTTGACTACACTTGGATACACTTTGACTACAATTTGGTTACACTTTGACTACACATTGGTAACACTTTGGTTACACTTTGACTACACGTTGGTTACACTTTGGTTACACTTTGGTTACACTTTGGTTACACTTTGGTTACACTTTGAATACACTTTCGTTACACTTTGACTACACTTTGGTTACACTTTGACTTCACCTTGGTTACACTTTGGTTATACTTTGGTTACACTTTGACTACACTTTAGTTACACTTTGACTACACTTTGGCTACACTTTCGTTACACTTTTTTTATACATTGATTACACTTTGGTTACACTTTGAATACACTTTGGTTACACTTTGACTAAATTTTGTTTACATTTTGGTTAAACTTTGACAAAACTTTGGTTACATTTTGGTTACACTTAGTTACACTTTGGTAACGTTTTGGTTTTACTTTGGTTATACTTTTGTTTACCTTTGATTACACGTTGGTTACACTTTGGTTACACTTTGATTACACTTTGGTTACATTTTGAAAACACTTTGGTTACACTTTGATTAAACTTTTGCTACACTTTGGTTACACTTTGGTTACACTTTGAGTACATTTTGGTTACACTTTGGTTACACTTTGATGATAATTTGGTTACACTTTGACTTCACTTTGGTTAAACTTTGCTTACACTTTGACTACACTTTGGTTACACTTTGAATACACTTTGGTTACACTTTGGTTACACTTCGGTTACACTTTGGTTACACTTTGGTTACACTTTGAGTACACTTTGGTTACACTTTGACTACACTTTGTTTACGCTTTGACTACACTTTGGTTACGCTTTGACTACACTTTGGTTACACTTTGACTACACATTGGTTACACTTTGACTACACTTTGGTTACACTTTAACTACACTTTGGTTACACTTTGACTACACTTTGGTTACAATTTGACTACACTTTGGTTACAATTTGACTACACTTTGGTTACACTTTGGTTACACATTGACTACACTGTAGTTACACTTTGAGAACATTTTGCTTACACTTTGGTTACACTTTGACTACACTTTGGTTACACTTTAACTACACTTGGGCTACACTTTGGTTACACTTTGGTTACACTTTGTCTAAACTTTGGATACACTTTTACTCCACTTTGGTTACACTCTGACTACACATTGGTTACACTTTGGTTACACTTTGACTACACTTTGGTTACACTTTGGTTACAATTTGACTACACTTTGGTTACACTTTGATGACACTTTGGTTACAATTTGACTACACTTTGGTTACACTTTGGTTACAGTTTGGTTACACTTTGAATACTTTTTCGTTACACTTTTACTACACTTTGGTTACAATTTGTCTACACTTTGACTACACTTTGATTACACTTTGACAACACTTTGGTTACACTTTGGTTACACTTTGGTTACACTTTGGTTACACTTTGGTTACACTTTGGTTACACTTTGGTTACACTTTGACTACACTTTGGTTACACTTTGACTACACTTTGACTAAACTTTGGTTACACTTTAGTTACACTTTAGTTACACTTTGACAACATTTTGTTTTGACTTTGAATACACTTTGAATACACTTTGGTTACACTTTTGTTATACTTTGGTTACACTTTGACTACACTTTATTTACACTTTGATTACACTTTGACTACACTTTGGTTACACTTTGGTTACACTTTGGATACAATATGGTTACACTTTGGTTACACTTTGACTACACTTTGACTACACTATGACTACACTTTGGTTACACTTTTTTTACACTTTGGTAACACTTTGGTTACACTGTGGTAACACTTTTGTTACACTTTGACTACACTTTGACTACACTTTGGTTATACTTTTGTTACACTTTTTTACACTATGGTTGAACTTTGACTACACTTTGATTACACTTTAGTTATATTTGACAAAAACTTTGGTTACACTTTGGTTACATTTTGACTACATTTTGGTTGCACTTTGGTTACACTTTGTATACACTTTGGTTACACTTTGGTTACACTTTGACTACACTTTGACTACATTTAGGTTACACTTTAGTTACAATTTGGTTACACTTTAACTACACTTTGGTTACACTTTGGTTACACTTGGTTAAATTTTGGTTACACTTTGGATACACTATGGTTACACTTTGGTTACACTTTGACTACACTATGACTACACTTTAGTTACACTTTGGTTGCACTTTGGTAAAACTTTGGTTACACTTTGGTAACACTTTTGTTACACTTTGACTACACTTTGGTTATTCTTTGGTTACACATTTGTTTACACTATGGTTACACATGGACTACACTTTGGTTACACTTTTACTACACTTCGATTACACTTTGGTTACACTTTGACTACACTTTGGTTACACTTAGGTTGCACTTTGACTACACTTTGATTACACTTTAGTTATACTTTGACTACACTTTGGTTACACTTTGGTTACATTTTGACTACATTTTGGTTGCACCTTGGTTACACTTTGGATACACTTTGGTAACACTTTGACTACACTTTGACAACACTTTGGTTACACTTTGGTTACACTTTTGTAACACTTTAACTACACTTTGGTTACACTTTTGTTACACTTTGGTTACACATTGTCTACACTTTGGTTACACTTTGAATACAATTTTTTTACACTTTGGTTCCTTTTTTTAATACACTCTGGTTACACTTTGTTTACACTTTTGTTACACTTTGATTAAACTTTGGTTAAACTTTGGTTACACTTTGGTTACACTTTGACTACACTTTGGTTACACTTTGGTTACACTTTGGTTACACTTTAAATACACTTTGGTTACACTTTGGTTACAGTTTGGTTACACTTTTTGTAACACACTTCTACTCTGACATGGCGTGGGATGTTATTTCTTATGCTGTGGGTTATGTCAGTAGTATGGTTACTTATATTAACGCTTCAGGATGCCGACTCAGTCTTCTTCATTCTTTCACTTATTATTCAGGCACGTAAAGAAGAATACTCAATTCTAGTTAAAACTCACAGTACTTTATTGAACACACTTTATATTGATAATATTAATAAATAATCCTTGCATGAATGTAATTTCACATATATATCTATAGTATTCCATCATTAAGAAAGACACGTCCTCACACTAAACTGTCAACTGTCTAATCACACAGCTCTCACGCTACTGACTCTACTGCTCTGCGCTCAGCTCTCTACTATCTCAGTCAACTCATACTTTATTACCAGCAAAGCGTGCAAAACAACCGCTCTGACAAAAACATAATTTTACTCTCCAAAAACGTGGAGTTCACATTTGCATCTCAAAATACATGGTCAACACAATTCACTGTTCACTCATGCTACCTCTCTGTTTTCATGTGAAAACATAGTCCGTTACATGCCCCACCCATCTGAAAAAATTTTGTGCAACAAAATTTTTGGCATTATATGTTGAAATAATGATAATGTCTCTTAGAAAATTTCAATGCCACATCTAACAATCAAATCAGTGTAACAACATTAACATTTCATCATTATGAAATACAGAGTCTTTTACTGTTAATATCACACATAATAGTGAATAATTTACCCTGGCAAAAAATTAAAAAATCACCAATGACAACCTCTTAAAATCTTTATGTATGATAATGTGAAGTGACATTAACATCTTAATGAATAATAAACACTGCAAAATGAATGTAACAATCTTAAATTTTGCATTAGAAAATTTACAATCGGTTAAAATCTGATATTCATTTACAAAAATTGATATGTACAAGTGTCTTATCAAAAAACTGAGTGAACGTATGTGTGTATATTCATTTAGAATGTCTGACTAATGTGTCTTAAGTCAGTGTCTTTGTCATTGTCTGCATGTTCAATGTGTCTGGAAAGGAAATCAGCTACTGTATTGTCTTTTCCTTTTATTGTCCTTATCTCATACTGATAATCTAATAGTATCAACGACCATCTGTTTATTTTACTATTCGCTATTTTCTTTCTATTTAGTGCCATTAATGGCTTGTGATCAGTCAATAATGTAAATTTTCTGCCTAATAGATATTTCTGTAGTTTGGTAAGTGCCCACACAATTGCTAAGCATTCTTTTTCAATGGTTGAGTAGTTAATTTCAGTTCTGCTTAATGCTCTACTTAAATAGGTAATTGGTCTTAATTTATGATTGTATTCTTGCATAAGGCAAGCTCCTAATCCAATGTTGGAGGCGTCTGTAACTAGAGTGAAAGACTGTTTAAAATTGGGTGATAACAATATGTTGTCACTTTGGAAAATTTCTTTGATTGTTCTCAGTGTATTTTCGCATTCATCCGTCCATACTATTTGTTTCTTGCTATCTTTATTTATTAGTTTCCTTAAGGGTAGTGTAACATCAGAAAATTTTGGAACAAAAGTGCTGTAAAAATTGCACAAACCTAAAATGGCTTTTACTTCTTTCTGAGTGTGTGGTGTTTTTATATTTAGTATTTTTCCTCTGTTGTGTTCTGTGGGCTGAATTGTGTTTTTACCGACTTTAAATCCTAAAAATTCAATGTCCTCTTGTGCAAACTTTAATTTGTTTGGTGCTATTGTAACTCCATGTGCTCTTAATTTGTTTAGTACTGTTTTTATAGTCTCTATATGTGTCTTCATATCCTTAGTGTGAATACAGATATCATCGACAAAATGTACGACATTTGGTATGCCTTCTAGCATGATTCGCATGAATCGAGAAAATGTTGCGGTGGAATTAACTAGACCAAATGGCATTACTGTCCATTCGAACAAGCCTTCCTCTGTGGCAAATGCAGTCAAAGGCATGGAATCCGGATGCATGCCTATTTGCCAGAATCCTCTGTTTAAATCTAAGTGGGTGAATAATGTGGAGGAGCCTATTTCTTCCAGTAGTTCTCTGGTGTCCCTCATGGGTTCTGCATCTAATTGTGTGATTTTATTTAACTCCCTATAGTCACAACATATACGGCACTGGCCATTTTTCTTTTTTACTACTACCATGGGTGATGCTATTGGTGAATCTGATCTTTTAATCTTGTTAGTCTGTATTAAATGATTTAGTTCTTTCTTTACTTCTTCCCTAAATGCATATGGAATTGGATAGATTTTGTGTTTGAATGTGGGTTCCTGTGTTAATATTATCTTGTGTTCTAAACTGCTAGTGTGTCCTATGTTCTCTGTGATGACATCTTTGTATTCTTTTAGAATTGTTGTTAAGTGTCTGTTTGTTGTGGTGTTATTTTCATTGTCTTCTAATTGTATAACACTAGCAACGGTGGCTGTGCTACTTATTTCATTACTGATGGTTTCTAACTCTTCAGGAACAGAGTCATATTTTCTGAGCAAGTCCACATGTAGGACTTTCAATTCACCCTTCATGTGAATTACATAATCAACTAAATTTAACTTGTCATGAATTGTAAACGGACCCTGCCAAATCTTTTGTCCATTATTGTTTGGCAACCATACCAAAACTTTATCATGTACTTTAAGATCTCTGAGGTATCTATGTGTATTCTTTATATGTCTTTGTCTTTTAGACTCCCTATCAGTGTTTTCTTTAGCATTTTCTATGCCATATGTAATCCTCTCTCTAATTTTTGTAATTATGTCAAATGTGTCTTGTTGTGTGCCTTTCTGGCCTAAAATATTTTCTTTAAAAAGAGTTAACGGTCCCTTTGGATTGGCCCCAAACATTAGCTCAAATGGAGAGTACCCAGTGGTGTCTTGTATACTCTCTCTATAGGCGAATAAAACCATGGGTATATATAGGTGCCATTCTCTAGGGTGGTCTATTGTTGTTTTATTTAACATTGTTTTTAGTGTTTTGTTCCATCGTTCTACCATACCATTAGCCTGTGGTCTATATATTGTGGAATGTACTTGTATTATACCTAGCATTTTTGTAACTGCATTGGTTAAGTTGGAAGTAAACTGTGTTCCATTATCTGACAATATTTTATCAGGGAACCCATGTCTTGTAAATACATCTAATAATGCCATGCAAATTGTTTCTGAATTAATGTTTTTGAGGGGAATTGCCTCTGGCCATCTAGATGCCATATCAATCATGGTTAAAATAAATTTGTGTCCCTTATTTGATGGTGGATTAAGAGGACCAATGATATCTATAGCTACCTTCTCAAAGTTTCTACCTATTTTGTCTGTGGGTTGTATGGGTGCTCTGTGTTTACTGTGTATTGGGTTTTTTGTCAGACATGGTATGCATTTGTTTATGTGTTTCTTTATGTCCTTGTGTATGCCTGGCCAATAAAAATTCTGTGTGACCCTTTCTAATGTTTTTTTTATACCCATGTGTCCAGCCAAAGGACTGTCATGTGCATGGTTGAGTATTTTGTTTCTGAGTATTAATGGTACTATTATTTGAGATTTTTTGATTTCACCTTTCTCAAAATTTCTGATTAGAATATTATGTTTTATTGTGTAATTATGTCCTCTATAAATTGTGTTATTGTCCTTAATTTTGTTTCTAATGTCCTGAATTTGCCTATCTTCTGTCTGCATTCTAATTATGTCTTCTCTAGATATTTGTTTTGGAATGTCTAATTTTTCTTCTATTTCGGGCTGTGTCTGACTAGTTTTATGTTGTTGTCTTGTTATTGCACCTATATATTCTTTGGTTAAATTTTTTGATTCAATCCAATTTAAGAATAGTTCTTGGGAATTATCTGGAATTTCTTTAATATTTCCAATTATTAACTGACATACTGGGTTGTCCATAAGTACTGCCGTTACCTTTCCTGTCAACCATGGACAGTCTATGTCCACTACTGCTTTATAACATTCAACTTTTGTGTTATTTGCTAACATGACTGTGGTTTTTTCAGATATATGGTCTTTAGGGTCAATCAATTTTTTGTCAACTACTATTGTTGTACAACCTGTGTCTCTTAGACACTGAACAAGTCGGTTGTTTACATAAGAAGGAAAAAATTGTAAACATCCTTCACTGTGACATGCGCTAGCTAAAGTTTCATGTGGTTTGGTGTTTTGTCTACTGTTAGTCTGATTGGAATTATATCTTTGATTTTTATATGGTTGTCTACTCCTATTTGTATTGTTGTGTCTTATTGGACTAGTGTTGGGTGATGTTCTCTGATAGTATTGTTGTGAATGTCCTAAATCTCTATGTAATTTTCTACACTCATATTTTTTGTGACCTGGAATGCCACAGTAGAAACATTTGTTGTTGTTTGAATAATTAGTATATGGTGTTTGGTAATTGTTTTGATGACTTTTCTGAAATTTATTGTTTTGCCATCTGGCAGGTAGGCTATGGTATCTTCTGTTTTGATATGTGTTTTGTTTTTGACTGTCCCTATCACTGGGTGTGTTTCTAATAGAGGCTAGTGTGCTGTTTCTATTGTCTAGCTCTTCATTGGGGTGAGCATCTTTAAATGTTGTGATTGAGTCAACTAACTCACGCTCATTTTTAATCTTTCTCTCTTTAAGGAATGAAAATAAAGAGACTGATGCATTTCTTAATATTTTGTCTATGATAAACATATCCAGTAATGCTTTTGGATCATTTAGGTCAATTTCAGTTAATTCAAGCCATTTGACAAGATTGTCTCTAATATTGAATATGGTGGTGTTAGGATCTACTTCTCTCTCTAGTCTTATGTTGTGGAAATTTTTTCTATAAATGTCTTCTGTGTTTCCATAGAACTTTAACAAAACTTTCTTTATATATGTATAATTATTCTTTTGTTCTTCACTAAGTGAATTGATAATGCTTAGGCTTTTCCCTGATAATCTGCTCAATAAAATATTAGCCCAAGTCTCTTCTCTATAATTGTAAGACTGACATATGCCTTCAAATTGTGACAGATAACTAATAATTTCTTCTTTATGTTCATTAAATTCTCTAAATTTGGGTTTATATGTGCTATTGGTTTCTCTATTGCTTGTTGATGGTGTATGCTGTCCTGATTCTATTCTAGCTCTTTCTAGTTTTATTTCTTCCTCTCTTAATTTCATATCCTGTTCTTTTAATTTCATATCCTGTTCTCTTAATTTAAGTTCTTCTATTTCTTTTTGTCCTTTTAATTTCATTTCTTCTATTTGTTTAAGATCGTTTCTCTCTAACATTCTAGCTTCTCGGTCTTTGTCTTTGTCTTGTCGGTCTTTGTCTTCTTTCTGTCTGTCTCGTATTTTGTCCATTTCTCGAGTTACGAAGTCAGTTAATTTCTCCTGCTTCAAACCAAGCTTCTCACCTACTTCTAATAATTCCAAGTACTCTGCCATTTTTTATGTGTAATGTGAGTAACTAAAATTATATTGTTATGTATCAGTATATCAGTTATCTCCTTATTCTTTGGTTATCAATTAAAATAGTTTACGATATTTCATATATCTACATGTTAATGAATGTATACACAAATGCAAGTTGATACATGAATTATAAGTTATAAATAAGTGTAAGAAAAATTTAAAATAATTAAATTGTCTATTTTACAACATAAATACAGATATGTAGACGTTTACATGTACACAAATGAGACAACAAATACAAAAGTACTGTGTAGTTTATGGACCACAAGATAGTAGAAAATATGACAGTAGGTTGACAATATGTATAACAATGACAAGACAAATAGCACAAATATGACACGATCTACTAAAAAACAACAGTTATGACAATGTACAAACTAGACTTCACAGCTAACACAAAATTATCCTACAGTGTTATAAATAGGGCCAGAAGAAACCTTTACCGTTTTAATAAAAAAACTTCCCTAGGAAAGATAACACCGTGGATGTCCCTACAGTATACTCTAAAATTAAACTTATATTACACAGAAAAAGTAAAAAATTTACTTAATCTAATTAAGTATGATATAAGTATATTTTTAAAGTCTTAAATTATATATATAATACATAACATAATATACATAAATACCAAGTGAAAGTGTCCAAAAGAAATCTGTAGTTGGTCACCTCTGCTCCTCTGTGACGCTATGATTTCTGTGTAATCGATAATCCTATGTAGTAGATGCTCCTTCTAGGTAGTAGATAATCCTATGTGGTAGTGTACTTGGGTAAAATAATCCAATGAGAAAAGTTACACCACAAATTGCTGCAATATTCCAATGTAAGTACCTTGCGTAATAGTGTAATTGTGATAATCCAATAATTGAAAATTGTCTAATTTATCTCCGGTTCTGTTGCACTTGTGAGTAATTGAAGAATTACTTGAAGAATTACTTGACTTGAACTGTGCTGCTTGTATAAAGTAAAGATTATGCTGGGGAAATCTTACTTCCGCTGTCTTGATAAAACATCTCATCTGTAATGACATCAGACTTCTTTTGGTTTTGTGTGGATCATCTCTTTCGTTGACTAATAACTGTAAAATAGATTTCTTGCTGTTTCTTCCACGAGAATATTCACTCCTCTGTTATATAATTGAAACAGTGTACCAGTTAGCTGTTTGAACTCTCAACTTTTGACTCCCGTGACTGACCTAAATTCAATCGTTGTCAGCTTGCTCTGTGTGTCGTGGACTCTTCTCAGACTTGACAAATACTCGGGCGTAATGACGTTCGATTCGAATGTTAAAATATATCATTGTTACTCAATGTTCTGTAATACATCGTTGTTCTGACACTTCTGACAATATTTGTAACGCATCGTCGTTACACCGCTTCTGACACCATTTGTAACACACTTCTACTCTGACATGGCGTGGGATGTTATTTCTTATGCTGTGGGTTATGTCAGTAGTATGGTTACTTATATTAACGCTTCAGGATGCCGACTCAGTCTTCTTCATTCTTTCACTTATTATTCAGGCACGTAAAGAAGAATACTCAATTCTAGTTAAAACTCACAGTACTTTATTGAACACACTTTATATTGATAATATTAATAAATAATCCTTGCATGAATGTAATTTCACATATATATCTATAGTATTCCATCATTAAGAAAGACACGTCCTCAGACTACTATAACTCAGCTCAACTGTCTAATCTCACAGCTCTCACGCTACTGACTGACTCTACTGCTCTGCGCTCAGCTCTCCTTATCTCAGTCAACTCATACTTTATTACCAGCAAAGCGTGCAAAACAACCGCTCTGACAAAACATAATTTTACTCTCCAAAAACGTGGAGTTCACATTTGTTCTCAAAAATACAATCCACATTGATTGTCTCTCCCCGTGGAAAAACCTGGTGAACACACTCACTGTCC